TCACTCCAATAACTTTTTACAATATGTTTCGTACTACGTAAATTTAAATGAACCGCTAATTTAATCTATGTGATGTATAATTAAATAGCAAAATGGAGTTACGGATTTTATCATCATATATTTAATTACAACATGATCATGTTTATGAAAAACCAGTATTAAATATAATTAACTATGTGACTTAAATGTCGCAGCAAACTTTATCATTCATTTCAAAACAAAAATCATAAATATATAATGTACTGTGTCTGGAAGAGATTGAAGAAGTCTCCTATTAATTTGTGTAATTTTGCGCAGAGATTGGCTATAGTAGTGCTACGGTTCGCAAGATAAAAAGCCACACAATGAATAACACTATGTGACTATCGATAATCTATTCCATCAGTATTGTACCATGATGTATTGTATCTGTATAAAAATTGAATTGACGAGTGAAAAAAACACTAAAAACAAAAATGTGTACGAACTATTCGTCACATGACAATTTAACATCTAATTTCTACGAATTACACAATTTCAACTTTCATCATAAATAAATTGTGCATGTGATTTAACTTTTTACGTTAATTGGGCTAATAGCCCAGTAGAATGATTATAATATTTTCTTATAATTTTAACTGTGATCACAATCGAGTGTACTGCAACATAGGTCGAGATAGACCTTTGTAGGATTTGTGAATATCGGTTGAATGAAATATTTGATGTATTGTACTATATATAATTTAATAACAAGATGTATTTGAATAAATTTACTGGATGCGAAGAATAAAACTGTTGCATCGGATATCTTCAATATATACCTTTTCTCTTCTTCTCTTTCCCTTCCCTTTCTCCTCACTCATTCGCTTCTCCCTGATCAATGTTTGCACCCCAACGTTGGTGATCAGGGGACAACAAGTTTTTAAAGACTAGGCTAAGTTAGCAACAAATAGTCTCGTGTTTGTCATTACGAACAATAAATTTTTTTCAGATTATCAGTCAATATATAGAACCCGAACTTGAAACGAAATAATGCGCAGCAGATCCTTCCTTTTTGAATAATTCCAGAGACATTATGTAATAATAGCATGGCTAAACGGCAATCATAAAATGCAAATATATAATTTTTTTTCAAATCTTGATATTTTACTTAAAACGTTTAAAAAGAGTGATTTCTTTATTTATTAATATTATTTTCAGATTCTTAATAAAATTTTATATGATTTTGAGGTATTTTCAAACAGTCGATCCAAAATTTTATGTATCTTTTTATCAAAATCTCAAAGATTAAAAAAACCAAAATTCTAACTTTTTACTGCCAAAGTAAACTAAGTAACCAATGGACTAAACCACTTTGTCTATATAGTATTAACATAAATAAACACAACTTTTTTGAATCAGCTGCTTTTTTTATGTATTCTCGTTGAAAAACTTGAAGAAAATTTTCGCGCAATTCTTTTGAACCAGCCTGGGTATCTGTGTAACTTTGAGTTTGCCCGTTAACCCTAAATACGAAATTATTTATTCACATGATAAACCCCAATGAATTTTATTGTAATACAAAATTCGTCGACTGAAAAATTTTTTTACAGATTCTTTAAATTTAGATTTCTAATTATCATTTTTCCTCCTTTTCTTTCTTTCCGGTTTTTTAATACTGGAATTTTTTTCCTTTTTTTTATTTTCCATTCTTTTCTCCTTTAGGTTTGGAGGTACACGATAAGGATCAATCTCTTATTAAGTTTAGATCATTTTTTTAATTATTTTTACTATTTTTTTTTTGATTTTTTTGTCTTTTAGATTCTGCATAAATTTTTTTTATTTCATTACTTTTTTTATTTAGTTACTATTTATTTATTTTTTTCGTTTCGGGTTTGGCAAGTTACTGAGCTACAGTTTATTTTTTTTTTTTTTCATTTAAAAAATTTTACATAATACAGTAATAAATTACATTGTCTTCATTACATAACGATGTTCACATGCCAAATACATCACGTTTTTGATCCGTTGCAAATTTCTAAGAAACATAATTAATTTTTATGTAATGAAAATTAATAAAATAGAATATTGATTTAGCGACTATGTAACATTCGAATAAATAATTAGCAGAAAATTGTAATGATTCATCATTTGAGATGCGAACAATGTAAAACAAGAAAAAAAAAATAAATTCGATTTACTATATATTATTTGTATAACATACTATAGTTCATGTGTGTCATGCACCCATGCATGATTAACAAATTGATTATTCAAAGAAATCTATTTTCTTACTTTGGAAGTAAGAAAAAAGAACATTGAAAATATTTTTATTCTGATTTAATATTTATTATAAAAGTATTTTTATTTTGTGAAAGTAACACTCATTACATATCTGTAATAAATGGTTTTTTTTCGCTTCGATTAAAAATAGTTTTTTCATTTGTAAAATTTTAAAAATAATGACGTTTTGTTTGTACTAGTTAATTTTGATCTGATTGTCATGATCTATCTATTTAAAACACTAAAAGATTTGTTGGTTGCCGATCGTACTAAAATAGAAAAGCTTGATTTGAAATGTATTTATATAATCAGCAAATCAATACCAAAGATGGGGGATCAGCATCTTAAAATGGAAATCACTTAAAAACTAATCTTATGTTAACGTTAAGTTAACGTTAACCTATCATGACATGTCAATCATTTCAAGTCATAACAATAACGTGACGCGCCACCCACCCACCCATAGGGTGATATTGCACTTATATAGAATGATCTTTTTTGCTTAATAATTATGGGATAAAATTTTTAGCAAATCATGTGAAAACTGAATAATTTTTTTGTTAGCCAAAAATGATCAACAACCGGATGACAAATTTTAATATTATGTAAATAAACAATTTGTTTGTATTATTACTTATTTAAATATAGATACATTTTTTTTTTT